CCTTCAGGCCAAAAATTAGTAATGGTTCCCTGCTGTTACAAGTCCTGGGGTACTACACTATGCCTGGTTGGTTTTTCTTAATCCTTTGGGAATATATTTTTTTTATTAAATTCTCCTCAAATATCCTGTTGCAGTGTGTTGTTTCTGGCTAGAGCTTGATTGATAAAACACCATACTTGCATGAATGCTAAAATGATTATTATAACAATTATAATAGTACCTGCTGCTAATCTCTAACCCCTTAAATTATTTTATTATTCTTCACTGTTTCTTTTTTTTTTTTTGCTTTGAGAGGCAATATAGAGAATGGACTCTGGAGTCTGGCTCTGCTTCCTTCTAGCATTTTGGCTTTGGGTAAGTTACTTAGTTTACCAATCTCATGGGGTTGTTTTAGTGATTAAGAGTTTATTCATTGAAAGTACTTAGAATAGTATTAGACATAGACAATGCTATTATGTGTTTAATCTTATTTCAAAAATACAAGTTAAGTATCTTTTATCCAAAATGCTTGGGACCAGAATTCTGGTCAAGATGGTGGAATAGACAGTCCCAGCATCACTCTCTCCCACAAATCAACCAATTTACAACTATAAGAAAGCAACAACAGCCTAGCTGTGGCTGCTAGAGCTCAGGGGAAGAGGAGAGACCTACGGAGGCATGAAGGTGGGAGAAGCTATGATGAGAGAAAGGAAAAACAGCTCCAACCATTTCAAATCCCAGCCACTTCCAGGCTAGAGCTGCTTAGTGCACAGAGCAGGAGCTGTCAAAAGCCGCGGCTGTGCCTTTCAGACGAAGTTGCTTGGAGGCTGCAGGGGAGAAGAGGGACTTATTGGCCCCCAGGCCAGCAATACCACTAATAGGGTTCTTGTGGACTCACATAGGACTGAGGAGTCACAACAACTGAAGAAAAGGAGCCACTCAGAGGGCAGTGAGTCATCACAAAGGATCAGAGAATGGCCTGTCCCATGGGAAGTGTTTGGAGCATGGGTGGTGGGGGAGACAGGCCCAAGGGGGAACACACTGGGGCACAACAAGGACAGCTTATCCAAGGGGTGCAGTTTGATGAAAAGACTCAGGCCCAGAATAATGTTTCTACACAACCCAGGTGCACCGGATTTCACTAGACCCAGAAGTACCTATAAAGTCAACCATTAAAATCCAAGCTACACAAAAAGCCTTCCCTAGGGAATCAGCAGCAAATCAGCAATTTAGCTCAACCACAGAGCTCAAGTACTGGTTCCCACAGCAAGTTCCCCCACTTCAGAAGTAAGAAAAAGACAACAAATTAGTTCCAGCTCAGAGTTTGAGTGGTGGGAACAGCAAATAATCCAACACAGAACTGAAAGAAAGAACAAAGTACCCACAACCAGAGACAAAGTTTAATATTAACGAGTAAAGGTCTCATTTCACCAAAGAACACCTATAACACCTACAAGCACCAGAAGTCCCCTGGGCTACCAAGCCAGAAAGGAGGGCCGGGGACCTCAGCCATGCTCCCTGACACCCACAACCAGTCCTGAGTGTGGGGTCCCCCCCCAACAAGCCCAACGACCCCAGTGATGACCACCTAGCCACTGCAGGAAGTGCCCTGAGCTCTCCCCAGCCAGGACAGTGGGGGGCCAGGGGCCTTGGGCCTCAGTCACACACCCCAACACAAGCAACCAGCCCAGCAATGACCACTAAGCCACAGCAAGAAGGGCCCCGGGT